TGCATGGGTTTGATTCCTTGTTCCCAATAAAAACATTTCTTTACCAGCAAAAGCAAACAAACACAATCACATAAACAGCTTAAAAGAAAATCCCCTAACTATTAAGGTGGATTGTGTGGGACTTAAATTTTCTACAATTAGTGTATTAAACTTTTTTTCTCAGGATAACTTTAAAGTAAAACATTCCCCAAATAGAAAAATATGGAAAGTATTCACAGGAGGGGAAAAAAATCCCCAAACATAAAAGCAAAAGTCTGTCAATCAACATCTGATTCAAGAAGAGATTATTTCCCACCCTGATTTCTTACACCAAAATTATTTACCTTGAGGTAGGTCTTTTTAAGAGACATAAAAAGATGTCATTAGCTTTTAAGGGAAATAAAGTTGTATGTAAACATAAATATTCCTCTAGACAAATGATTACAAATACAGAAGTGCAGAATTATATTAGACAAGGGTTGCCTACAGATTAGTGCATAAAATCACTATTTTTCTATTTGAATTTGGCACATTTTTTCAGTGAGGTGCTATCATAAACAAACAAAGCCATCCAGGTGTGTCACTGGGGAGATGGTCCAGTGGTTACAAGCACAGCGCTGCTGCAAAGCACCCAAGTTTGGTTCCCAGCATCCCTGTTAGGTAGTTCACAACCTTCTGTCACTCCAGACCCAGGGGAACTCAACCTCACTTTTGCCCTCTGCATATACCTGCTCATGTGCATGAAAGTTCATATAATTAAAATATTTTACATAGAAAAATCTGGGATTTGTCTTTTTCTCTTAGGGTTCTATTGTGATAATGATAATATTCTGTTAAGTACAACTGACTTTAAGAGAAAAACATGTTTGTGGGTATTACAATAGCACAGTTTTGTTTTGTTTTCTGTTAGTCTTATACTATTCACCCCACCCCTTTCCCAGGCCAACACCTACATTTTATGTTTAGTGATAGTATTTTTAATGGACTCGGGAGTAAAGTTCGATCATGCTTAGGATAATATAGAGCCACCGCAGGAATGGCCGGCAGCTAAATGCAAAGGTGTCCATTAACACCCTGCTTAAGTCATTGGTCCTGGGGCTTCTAACTGTGAGAAGTCTAATTCTCTCGTGTCCTACAGCGATATCAAGGAATATCCTAAAATGATGTACGAGTCAGCAGTAAGGCTTTCTGCCCACTTTCTTCACTCTATTTTTTCTCAAAAATGCATGCTGTAATTGAAAATTGTGGGTTTTTCACAAACCCATATGTTGATAGCTTCATTACCGGCCTATGGCAGGACTGCAGATGATGAGCTCTTCGGGTGGCATTAACCTGGAGAGGCATAAGGGTTTCCCCGCAAATACTCTAAGAAATATTAAGTCTAAGACACTAAAGATATATTTAGATATATTAATTTCTTTTCGAAACAATACTGAGATAGATTCTCATGGCACATAATCCATTAAAAAGTAATAACCCAACAGTTTTTTTTTTTTTTGGTATTTACGAGACAGGGCTTCTCTGTATTATTTTGGAGGCTGTCGGTCCAGCCTGGCCTCAAACTCACAGAGATCCGCCTGCCTCTGCCTCCCGAGTGCTGGGATTAAAGGCATGCGCCACCAATGCCCGGCCCAACAATTTTTAATTTGTTAAATTATGTGGAGTCAGTTCAAGGAGCCCCTGTCTCCCGCAAAGCTGTCAGGGTTTTGACGTGTTCCTCCTTCCCTGCCCTTCAGCAACTGCTAATCTTTTCAGCATAACTTTATGTTTCTCTATTCTGTGCTTCCATTGCAGATGCTAATCTTTCCTGACTGAACTTTCATTTAGAATAATTTTCTTCAGGATTTGCCCATGTTGTCACGTGTTTTCGTACTTTGTGTGGTTGCGCCTCTTTTGTGTCATGTGGGCCGTTTCCATCTCTGGATTACTATGAATAATGGTGGCATAAACATCCGTGTACAAGTGCCTTGTGCTCCTGTGTGTTTTCATTCTCTTGACTATGCCAGCATGATGGCTCTACGGTCAGTCATTTGGGAAAAACTAACGAAATTCCGGGCTGTTGATCAGAGTAGAAAGAATAGTCTTTTGTCTTCTGAGCTGAGACCCATAATGTTTGCCTTATAAATTTGTGATATAGTTGAATAAACTTCACAGCCTATGGTTGATAGTTTTATTAATTTAAAATATTTTTACCATTAAAGATCTTTTGAGTGAAGCCAACAGATAGATATAGATAAGTTACATACACACACATACACATACACATATATACATACATATATATATATATATATATATATATATATCTTTTAAATAAGGATGAGGGTGGAGAACTGTGAAAGCAATATGTTATGGTAGGTTTTTCTGTTATGCCTAATGGTAGCCTTAGGTGATATGCATTGACCAAGGACAAACTATTACCTCCAAATTCGATAGTATGCAGTGTTCTCACTCATACCCCACCCTAATTATATAGAAAGTATAATGTGGTTTTTGGTTTTGTTTTTTTTTTCCTCATAAGAGCAAACTTCTACATAGCCAGAGACTAAAGGTCCCAGTGCCACACCATGATACTCAGAGGGCCACCACGTGTTTTCTTGGTGTCATAATGGCTAGACTACAGGTAGCCTGCACATGTCACGTTGGGTCATAAACTTTTAAAATGCAAAGATTTTAGGTGCTGTGTAAGCTGCTACAATTCTTAGAGCTTCTGTTCTCAGCTTCATATATATATGTATAAATACACACACACATATATACATATATGTGTGTGTGTGTGTGTGTGTGTGTGTGTGTGTGTGTGTGTGTGTGTGTAATTTGAGTTGCTTGCTACCAGGCTACATTTCAAGCTTTTCAGGAAGACACTACTCATTTAAGCTCTCTTATCCCCTTCTTAATATCTAAAGATTGTTGTTGTTGTTGTTTTTTGTCTGACATGAAAGAGAGTTTATGCTTGATTGACTTAAAATATTCTTTCTGGAGTAAAAGTTTTCATTGATGATAGATCCAAGCCTTTGTGACTTCCCTTTTATCCTCAGGGTTTAGATCTCTTTCCAAATAGATGAAAGAGCTTTCAATGGTCATGAGCAGTTGCTGTTGAGTGGTTTTTAGAAATTTTCATTTCACATAATACTAAAATGTATGGTAAAACAGATCCTTAAGGTAATAAAATTAATGTGGTATATACCCTATAAATTCTTAGTAAATCAATAGTAGGGGCTTGGAAATAGTAAAGAATAAGGCAATTACGACTCATGTACTCCCTTCGAAAACACTGAGTTTGAGACATTTTTCAGTGTGTATGTACATGTGTGTCATAGTAAGAAGGCTTTTTAAAAGTTTATGTGTGCCACAGTAAGAAATAATATTTTTGTTTATCATACAAAGAACCTATAGAAAATATTTGGTCTTTGTAATGCTGTGTTTATTTTACTGGTAATGTATGGGCTGTGCTAATATTACTTGCTAGCATGTGTTCTAACTAGGGGGGTTATAAAAAACATTTCCAGTATTAACCTGGATTGTGGAAAGCATAATTGCTGTGATTATATCTTTTTATGCATATGGGTAGATGAAAATGTGTTCATATCTAAAGTTACATTTTCATTTCACACCAGAAACCTAATTTCAAGTCTGTAACCCCTAAGGACTAAAGCTCAGAATCTTATTTAAGTCATTAACTAACTGCATTTCATGGCAAGCAAAAATGATTCATTAAAGCACTGTGTTTTTCATTTCTGGTAATGATGGGTTATGCATAAATTTTTAACTACCCAAGATCACTGTAACCTTTCAAAACCGCCAAAGAATAAAGAGCCATTCAATAGGTGTCCCCCCCCCCAATAAAGGCAGGAGGCTTTCTAGGTCTAGGTCTGTCTGGGTTGAAAGTATGCCAACATCCAGACAGAAAGCACCAATGTACTTTGTAAACATTATACGTTAGCCTGTGGATATAGAACAGAAATTAGATTCATTGTTAGAATCCTGAGACAATAAGCTTCTAAAGGTTCACTAGAAATCCGTTGTTTTCTTCCTTACTAAGTTATCCAAGTTATAATATTTCTAGCGGTCTTTACTGCCCGGCCCGACTTCCGGCTCTGCCAAAGTATGGGATAGTACAGAAAAGGTGCTGAAAATTACTGCCTGTCTCTATATAGGGGGCTGACCGCTGTGTCACCCTGAGCGCGGCCCCCGCGCCTTCTATATTAATGCTGTCATTAATCGCTTGCTCTTTAAGACAACATCGACTCTTAGATTGCTGACTTGCTTTCCAGAAAGAGGCTCCTCACCCAACGCCAAACTATTTTCCATACCCACGTCAGATAGCGTTTGATGTCCCCACCTGTGACTTTTCGCCTATTCGGGAGGGGGATGGAATCCCAAAAGACTAGGCTCCGAGCACGGCTGCAGCAGTCTGGATTTTTCAGAGTGTGGGAAAGACTGCTCAAAGGGAATACATCCTTAAGAAAGAAGAGGGGAGAGCCTGTCTCCCCGAGCGTATATAAGGAAAGGAAAGGTGAGGCGCAGTTACAAAGGCAGAGTAAGAAGTACGAGTCCACGGGACCAGTGTCGAGTCCCGAGGCGCGTGACCTGAGCAGGCATTCTCGTGAGTCCAGTTCTTTCCTGGGCGTCACAGACTCCACGAGCCACAGTCTACAAACATATAAACACGGGGAATGGGTGTCCCTGTAAATTCCACGAAAACTCAGTATAGACTCTTAGGATTTTCTTACTAATTTTGTGTTAGTTCCTCATACGTGAGACTTTCATTCTCTTACGTATAATGTGAGCAATATGATGATGTCAGCAGAGTAACCTTCAGGGAACACAGTACGGGGACAGACAGCTTCCTGCCGGTGGAGGAAAAACATCGAGGTTAAGAAAGCCTCAGAGAAGCAAGATATAGGTGAAACTGAAGCATCCCGAAGCTACAGACTCTTCTTCAATTATTCAGTTATGTGTGTAGCATAGGGATGGAACTGTTGTTGAAATCCCTCACTTTCACTATTAAACACAACACATTTTCTTTTCTCCATTCTTTATTCAGCATGATATTCCATATCTTTGACTGACTAGTTTCCCGTCTCGCTAAAGATAGATATATAGAGAGATGATGGATGGACGGGTGGGTAGATGGATGGATAGATAGATAGAAGATAGATAGATTAGATGGACAGACAGACTGACAGACGGACATTTTTAAGTTACTTTCTGTTATCCTGAAAAGGCCATAGAATTTAGACCTTATTTATCAAACATGCATTATTATTTATTTAAAATTTTCTAGAAGCAGACATCAAGTATTTAGACATACATCTCTAAGTCGGCTTTTGTTAACCTGAGTAAGCCTTTATAACCTTAAGAATTTATCATCATACAAAAATCCATCCTAATTGAAAAATCTTGGAGACCTGTAGTTGCTTCCTTCATCTATAAAGAATATACAGTAATTAGCAGCAGGCGTGGTGAGACTGAGTTTCATGAGCTGTCGCTTTAGTTGGTTTATACCACGTCGTCATCTTAGGGTGGTGGTGAAGTTCCGTGACATGTGTTCTTTAACTGTGGCAAAGAGGACTGCCAGGTGCATGGTCTTTTCACCCTGAGGCATCAGCCAAAATGAAGGCAAGTCAGGTAGCTGCTGCTCATGAGCATCTTTTTGTATTACAATATGATGTAGTAGGTAGGCATTTTTCTAAAGGAGTCAAATCATATATGTAGTATATAAGCAGTATACTGTAGCAAGTTAAAGTTACCCATGTATAGATTTACTTACCAGCCTCTTGTTATAAGTTTTAAGATAAAGTTTTGTTACAGTTAGCCATATCCAAAGAATGTACAAATCTTGAGATAAAGAGTTTACACAGAGCAAAGAGATACCTCTGTCCTCCCTGTGCAAATTTATCATGAGGTCAGTTAAAATATTCAATGGCTGAGAAATATCTAATAAAAGCTGATTGCTTTTAGCATGTTTAGACTCTTGAGCTGCATATCCCCGAGTGGGCCTTTTCTGTGGAGCTTGTGGAATTTGTAAAAGATATATGCTCTGCATCCTTTTGAAGAGTCTTCTATAAAAGCATAAAAACAATCTTTATGGGGTTATAAGATGCTAGTTTAGGCAACAGCCATGGACTATGTTTGTTTAGTAGAACAACCGCGTCTGTGGGCTGTTTCACCAGTGAGGGATTAATTCTCAGATGCTGCTTTAGCAGAAGAGCTCTTCAATAGCTAGCGACCTGCTCTGCCTCAGGTGTTTCTCTTCTTAGAGAACTTAACCAAGAGTTGCCAGAAAGTGAGGCAAAGAGCAGAGCCAAATCCAAAGCAGTAATAAAAAGATAAAGAGCTTACTCGATGATGTGGCCCAAAACTTTAAATCTTGTTCTTTTGGTGTATTTGCCATGAAAGTTGAGCATGCCTTTAAGTATTCATTACAACAGAAGAAGAGAGCATCCTACATACAGGATGGCCAGTGCCCAGGACATTTAAACAGATGTTGGTTTAAGTGCCTTTTGTCCTAATTGTAAGTTGGGCCTGTATTAATTTTTGCCATGAGGGGACCTTTGATATTGAGTTATTCCTGCCATGAGAAAAAAAAACCAAAAAAAGCAGACAAACAATAAGAAAAATCTAAGTTCCGGGCCAGTTGATCTGGCCCCTGCTGCAGGCAGCAGAACCGGCCTACTATTGCTTGGAACTCAGCTGCTGAGGGGGCTGCCCTTTGCTTCCCAGCTGAGGAAGATGGCCACGTGACCAGAGGCTCTGAGCTCCAGTCAGATTCCCTAGGGTGAGCCCCACGCTCATGACCAACCTTGAAGCTGAACTGCTGTGGATTTTATGTTTGCCTTCCATGGGCTCTTTTTACATTAGTTTCTATGAATATAAATTTGCAGAGCTGTTTGTTGGTCTGAATATGTTGCTCCTTTGGATCATGACAAATATTTTAGTAATTGTACAAAATGCCTTATCTCTGAGGGCTGAGAAGAATCCATATTAATTGTTAATTCCCACTCTCGCTTAAGATCACGGCCCCTTTTCAGTGAGAGGATCGAGTTTCCTTAACCCCTAATTTCTATTAAAGAAAACTTTTCTTACCTTCTCCAGGAGTCTTGTGCCCCACGTTCAGGCATCAGAAATTGTGGGGTTCCTGCCGGTCTCCGTGCCAGCAGGATAGAAAGTGAAGTATAAGTGAGATTGAGAACTCATTGTAGACTTCTTGGTCAGTCACACTGGGCCAAGACCGCTGAAGAGTCTGACCCTCAGTTTATTATTCTTACACATTTAAACACACTCAAACTTTGGGAAAGGTTTCCAGGTGACGGTTAGCACAACAAAGCTTCAGGGATAGCTACACAGAAACTCCTAGCGAAGTGACAAAGCACCTGTGAACTTTACAACAGGAATGATAAACAGAGTGCAGGGCAACGGCCTTGAGGAAGAATTTGTAATAATCATAAGGGCAGGTTCTATTGATGGAGGATGCAGCCTACTTGGGACCTCTCATAGGGATGGGTTCCATTGATGCAGAGTATCTGGGACCTCTCATAGGGATGGGTTCTATTGATGGAGGATGCAGCCTACTTGGGACCTCTCATAAGGATGGGTTCCATTGATGCAGAGTATCTGGGACCTCTCATAGGGATGGGTTCTATTGATGGAGGATGCAGCCTACTTGGGACCTCTCATAAGGATGGGTTCCATTGATGCAGAGTATCTGGGACCTCTCATAGGGATGGGTTCTATTGATGGAGGATACAGAGTACTTGGGACCTCTCATAAGGATGGGTTCCATTGATGCAGAGTATCTGGGACCTCTCATAGGGATGGGTTCTATTGATGGAGGATACAGAGTACTTGGGACCTCTCATAAGGATGGGTTCCATTGATGCAGAGTATCTGGGACCTCTCATAGGGATGGGTTCTATTGATGGAGGATACAGAGTACTTGAGACCTCTCATAGGGATGGGTTCCATTGATGCAGAGTATCTGGGACCTCTCATAGGGATGGGTTCCATTCACTGAGAGACAAAAGCTCAGGATTAGGGCCTAAAGATCGCCCCAGATTTTGGAGGATTCAGGAAGGCTGACTCCATAGAATAGAGAAGAGATCACCCGTATTTAGAGGTCATCCACTCCACCCTTCTCGGTGATCAGGCCTCATTCATTTTCTTCCGTCGAAGACAGTCTTGGTTTCTCCAATGCTCACTCTGAGCTCTGATTCCTACAGTCTTAGTAGAAGATAACTCTCCACTTTCACCTTGTCAGAAACTCATGTCGCTGGAGATTGCAATGCTGTAGAAGCCCTTTTAATATCTTTTCTTATTGTGAGACTGTGTGAACATACAAGTAATTACAAAATGAGTGGAGTCTCGGATACCTTTGCCCCCAAATTCCCCTAGAGTTGATGTTTAGTTTAACTGTAATCTTTCATGAACATGGGTATGTCCAAATTAGTGCGATGGTATTAACTAAATTTCAGGCCTTCTCGTACTGTGGGAGCCTAGAAATTTTCCTGTGGTAAATTTAATGACTGTTTGCACTGCCATTAAAATGTCAAAGATTATACATTCTTGTTAGACAATATGCTACTAATATTTACTTTGGGGCAAGCAGGTTAATTTATTGGTAGAAGTACTTCTTTTTCAGGTAGTATCCATTAATTAGTCCTTAAAGGAAGTCAGATGAAAATTAAGTATAAGCAGTAGCAAGATTTTACCTGTACACTCTTTAGTGTTAAGCAACAGATAGGCAAGCATCCCTTAACACTGGAGATGTGTTCTGAGAAATGTTTCATTGGGTCATTTTCACACTGTGAGTGCTCATAGGCCTTGGTCATACAGAATAGACACCCAACCTGCCCGCTTGACAAAACCAGGGGCCCGATAAATATGTACGAGGTTGCTGCCTGCATAACACAGCATGTTGTTTTTATAAATATATAAATACGATTATATATATATATACACACACACATATATATATATACACATGCTTAAGCAGGCAGAATAAACTGTAAAATAACAGTAAAAAGCATAGTATGGTAAGGACATAGGTCAGTACTGCTCACTTACCATCATTAGCCTTTTTTCTGCTGAATATGTTTGTGTGCCATACTTTCTGTGACTGACAGCACTCTGGATTTATGTGCCCCCAGCATAAGCACATGAGTAACGTGTCCTGCCCTGAAACTGCCTTAGCTGTGTCACGACTTCCATCCCAGCTTCACGAGGCCGCCATACATGTAGCTTGTGTCCTGAATCGTTGTCCTGCGGTTCACGGCTGTGCTGTGAATAGACACGCTCTGTGAAGCAATAACACCACGGTCGTTACAAACGCAGAAGCAGAACTTAGATAGCAGTGTTAGAACTAGTGGCGTAAGAAGGCACACTAAGCTATTCTGCAAGTTGCAGCATGCGTGCTTTGTAATTTTAAATAGGCATTAGCAGCATTTGGCCATCAGTGTGTCCCTATTACCATGTGATAGGGAAAGAATGGAAAACGCGAATCTTTGTCTTTCCCAGTCTTAAACTGCCAAGGTGTCTCAGATGCACCAGAAATGCTTGACTGTGAACAAACATTTGTTTTACTTGCATGAAATGTCGGGATTTTGCTTTTAAACGCAAGAGATCCGAGTGAAAACTCTTCCAAGAGCTCAAGTTCAGTTTCTTGCTTTCCTGTTAGCCTGGGTAGCCTCGATGCAAAAAGTTACCTCCATTCATTCCTTCAACAAATATTCCTTGGGTTGCTACAGCGTGTAAGTATTGTAACACCTATGACAGATAGGGCTTTGAAGAAGGCAGACATTGCACTGCCTACAGCCTGATCGAAGCGACCCAGTGTATAAGCACACTGTAGAGAAGCCAGCAACGCTGAACTTGGGGCTAACCTCCACCCTCCCCACAAGGAGCGCTGAGGCGATATGCTCACTAATCTCCTTGTGGACCCGGGCGAAAATCCCTTCATACAGCTACATGCCCAGACAGTAGCTAATCCACCTGAGTATTTGGTGCAGGTTGAATTAATTTATCTAAAGTTCTACATCATCTTTTCCAAGGTGATGCTCTTGTCTCCTTCCCAACCAGGGAGGGCATCAGTGTCTCTGTGCTCAATATTCCTGCCAGGAATGGGCATGGGTTCCCAGCTCTTAGTGTGCCAGTGATACCCAAGTCAGCATGGCATTGGCAAGCAAGGTGTGATGTCACCCTACGAACTTGTGCTTCTGGGGTAGCTAAAGACCTTCCATATTAGTGTTTTAGTGAGTATTTTGGTAAATTAACTAGTCCTTACCCTTGCTTATTCTTATTGTTGTTGTTGGAGTTTATGCTCTCATCTTCTGGTTTCAAGCATGTCTTAACCATGCATCTTTTATCTGAATTGAACTATTATAAAAGTGTCCGCCCTACCATCCGTCGCTGCACTGCAGGCTGCTCAGAATTAAAACTGAATTCTGCAGGACAGCGAATGAACAGAGACATAGCAGCGCTGTCTCTGAGAGTCCCGTGGCAGTCTGATGACAAAGCTGCAGGGACCACAGACTTGTCATCCTAGGTGGAAGAAGAGAAACCCCCGGGGTCGAATGTGCTCCCCCACGCTGCAGAGCTGGGCCCTGTGGCACCCTCACTCATGCATAGCCTGAAGGGACTTCCAAAGAAGCTTGTGACAGACCAGGTTTCTGAGTGTTCAGAGGAAGCGGGAAAGTCAAGACTAGAGAAAACGCCCAGACTCAGAGTCAAACTACAAGTTCTTCCACACTGCAGAAGGCAGGAAGCACTCAGTGCCTTTGAGCTCTGGGACAGGGTGGGGGTCATTTACATCTGGTGACAACAGACAGAAGGCTTTGGAAGCACTCAGTGCCTTTGAGCTCTGGGACAGGGTGGGGGTCATTTACATCTGGTGACAACAGACAGAAGGCTTCATCCTATCAACCCAGTGGGAGTCTGTCATCTTCCTGAGGAAGATACTTGATTTTTTAGATAGTTAGTAAATAATTTTTAACTATGGGACATGCGTCAAGGGCGTGCATGCACACGAGTACCTGTGGAGTCAGAGGCCTCAGATCCCCTAGAAGCTGGCGGTGTGGGGAGTTGTGAGCTGTCTGTCATAAATGCTGGGAACCGAACTACGTGTGTTCTCTTAATCGCTGAGCTGTTTTCTCCGGCCTTGATATGTGATTTCTAAACAACAAAATCTAGCCTAGGAAAATCTGGCAAAGAAAAAAGAAACGTGTAAAAGGATTTGAAAAGAAAAATCCCAGGAAGGGATCTGTGAAGGAGTCTAGATGAGGAAATAAAGTTTGGGAGCAGGAGACGGGGACTAGAAATATAGATATATAAAGAATACCAGCCATGGGAGTTTTAAGCTCTGAGTTTTACTAGAATAAATGGATATTTTTATCTTAAAATGATGCCAGTCTACACTTGTCTTTCTGTGCCTGTATAATTTTAACATTGTGTCCTGCAGATCCATCCATATTGTTGAAAATGATAAAAATTTCCCTCTTCACATGGTGAAGAGTATTTCAATTATATATGTGTGTGTGATATAATATCTCACATTTTTATGTCTAAAAAGTTCTTAGCATGTATTTGTTGCACAAAATGAGTTTTATAGGAATGAAGCCACATAAAGATGGAGAGTTGCAGTGATGCAGACTGTTGCCAAGTCACAGAAAGTAAGGTCGAAGCCATCCATACATTATGGACAGCATAGATTGCTTCTATGTCTGAGTAACACTACAACAAAGTAGTTTAGGATATCTCCTTGGCATAATGCTTTCTTTCTTTGTGTGTATTCCCAGAAGTGACATTACTGAGTCATGTGGTGGTTTTATTTTTTTAATCTTTTGTAGAACTTCCATATTTTTTTGTAGTGTACAAGCCCACCAACACTGAATGAATTCCCTTTTCTTTCCATCCTCTCCTATAGTTTTCTTTCATATTTTTTGGTGAGAGCCTTCTAACAGACATGAAATAACATATCACTGAAGTTTTAATTTACATTTCTTAATTATTCCTTTTCATACCAAATTTTGGTTAAATTATTGATAATTTTAAAACCATACAAGTACACACTGAGCTGAAGTTTTAATACATAATAATAGCATAAAAATTGATTTAGGGATGTAATTAAATACATTTTCTTCTACCTTGCTTGTTTTATATATGGCATTTATATATGTATATGCTCAGAAATAGGCATTTAGGTTCATAAACTTTTAACTATTATGTACAATCAGTGCGTTCTGATCTATCTGGTAAAAAACCACTGGGGTTCCTCTGTTTTTCCAGAACAGTCACAAAATTCTCAAAACAGAATTTAACCCACTTCAACTTAATGTATCTGGTAAAAAACCACTGGGGTTCCTCTGTTTTTCCAGAACAGTCACAAAATTCTCAAAATAGAATTTAACCCACTTCAACTTAATGTATACTATCAGCAGTACCTAGGATACCATAGTCTCACAGGAACAGGCGGGGACAT